TGACTGTTCAACTGTTTGAGTATTGAGTTAGCTAGAGAACATCTGAATGATCAAATAATCGAAGAAGTGCGTTTTTTCGAGTGTCTGGCTATTTAAATATCCAAATAACCAAGTTACTCGGTCATATTCAATCAGTGATAACCGACCTCAAATTATTTTACAGGTACATAATTAATCCCATTTCAAAACTTTTGAAACTAATGCTCGGATACTTAATTTTTGAAATACGACCATTCGAGTAATCACACAAATGTTCCTTTCTGATGTTCGACTACACAAAAAATTGAGTAGTTGCATTTCTTCGAGTATTCTGTAATCGCATATTCGAATTATTCAATATTCGAATGTTTATTGCAGACAAGAATATGCCTCAACTATGGTAAACATCGACGGTTATATATGACCCAGGCAAGTAAGGAATAAATCAAATCTTGAGGTTTTGAGATTAAGGAGGATTTTGCATCACTTTAAAACTAATACATTTGTATAAATCACAAAAATATGTTACCGATGACTTTATAGCTAGTTGTCAGTTGTTATAACTAGAAATGTGTTAACGGCAATAAAAAATCAAGTTACTTCTTTTATATATCTTGTGCGTATTTTTTTTACGAATTTTATGATTGACGCTACCAACGAGCTGTCATTTATCTTCCCAACTGAATTCCCATAGCCTCCAGGATGAACGTTTTTTATGCTGCAATAGAAACTAATTGTGCCAGGAAGTCATCGCTTCATCATTTGCGAATTTCAAGTTCCCCAGGGTCGCAGCTGTGAATGTGCATTTGATGATCGCCAAATGGAGACTCCATCGCCGATCTACACACTCACTCACACATTCACACACCTAATCCAATCCTCCACTCTACGACAGCGAGAAGCGTTGCTCCTACATCGATTTTGGTCCTTTTTTGATGCAAGTGACAATCCAATGGCGCCTTGTTGCTTTTTTTTATTCAGTACATCATATTCCGCAAAAAAACATCTCTGACTTCCTGAGATACCCTTTTGGCAAATCTTTCTGCCAGCAATACACAGAGTTTAGCCCCCTGCTATGTTTGTCAAAATCTTTTTCAAATTAGCTAATAAAACATGACTGATGACTGCTTCAACCGAATGACTTTGAACTTTGTAAGCGGAACTT